CCCGAGGGCTTCGAGGAGGCAGATCCCGGTGCCATCCTGCGCGTGCGGCCCGCGCCCGGCAACTTGACCGTGGTGGTGGGCAATGCCTCGGCGGCTTACAACATCCTCTATCGCACTACAGACAGTCAATACAAGCCTTCGTGGGCTGTGACTACCCTGCTGGTGCCCACCGAGGCCGCCTCCGCCGCCATCAACCAAAGCGTTCTGCTCTCCTACCAGATCGCGTACGATTCGTTCGACGTCAACGCGAGTCCCAGCTACGCCATGTACTCTAGCCCGCCATCTGATATTATCCTCGCCTTGCAGCAGGGCTGGTTCGTCAACGTTCCCGATTACGAGGGACCCAATGCCTCTTTCACTGCCGGTGTGCAGTCCGGCCATGCCACCCTCGACTCGGTCCGCAGCGTGCTCGCCTCCGGATTCGGCCTAAACGAGGATGCCAAGTACGCTCTTTGGGGATACTCTGGCGGTGCCTTGGCCAGCGAATGGGCCGCCGAATTGCAGATGCAATACGCTCCGGAGTTGAACATTGCCGGTCTGGCCGTGGGTGGACTCACTCCCAACGTTACCAGCGTCATGGACACGGTGACCTCGACCATCAGCGCAGGACTCATCCCCGCCGCCGCGCTGGGTCTGTCAAGCCAGCACCCTGAGACATACGAGTTCATCCTCAGCCAGCTGAAGACGACGGGTCCTTACAACCGCACGGGATTCCTGGCCGCCAAGGACCTGACCTTGTCCGAGGCAGAGGTCTTCTATGCCTTCCAGAACATCTTCGATTACTTCGTCAACGGATCTGCCACATTCCAGGCGCAAGTGGTGCAGAAGGCACTGAACCAGGACGGATACATGGGCTACCATGGGTTCCCGCAGATGCCGGTGCTCGCCTACAAAGCCATTCACGACGAGGTCAGTCCCATCCAGGACACGGATCGCGTGATCAAGCGGTACTGTGGACTAGGATTGAACATTTTGTATGAGCGGAACACCATCGGTGGACACTCCGCAGAGCAGGTGAATGGCAACGCTCGGGCGTGGAACTGGTTGACCAGCATTTTCGAGGGAACGTATGCGCAGCAGTACAAGACCGAGGGGTGCACGATCCGCAATGTCACTTTGAACACGACTTCCTCTGTTTACTAAAGGGTGACTGGTGTAATGTGAATAATATTGAAGACGGCTGTGTATGGACAGCCGGCTCTATTGTACAGAAATGGGCTAATGAATGTGGCTTCATGAACTTGGTACGAATGATTATGTTATGTACATAGTGTGGATGTGGTAATGATGAAGAAGTAATTGTCTATGTTATGATCTATGTTCCTGCTATGTTATACAATACACCATTCAAGTATCAACTACTGACACATCTGCTTAGAAGAGACCAGAGTCGGCCTTTATCAAATCGGAGGCCCGCTCGGCCACCGCGTACAAGGTACTGACCAGGTGGCCGCACACCTGGAAGGGAAGGACGGATGCATCCACCACGCGGACATTGCTGGTGCCGTACACCGTCAAGCGGTCGTTGACCACGCCGCCCTTGTCCTTGGGCATCATGGCGGCAGTGCCGACCGGGTGGAAGTTCGAGCGGTCTGTGAACAACCATTAGCATGCATACATGATTACTCGGAGAATAGTGGTGGAGACTTACATTGTGTGAGCAGCCACGCCTTCCAGTCCTCCTCGGAGCCGTTGGCAGCCACGGCCTCGAAGCCAGGGTTGGTCTCCTCGGTGACAATGTTGGCCAAGGGAGCAGCCTGGAAGGTCTTGCGGACGTACTTGGCCACCGCAATCTGACTGGTAAGATCCCAATCGAACTTGTAGTAGTTGGGGTTGATGATCGGCTTGGCAGTAGGATCGGCGGATCCAATGTGGACATAGCCACGGGCAAAGGGCATCAGGGCCCAGTACTGGGCGCTAATACTGCTGGTGCTACCGGGGTAGTACAAGATCTCTGCGATCGTGATCTTATCCTTGAAGATCAGGTCATACTGCAGCTGGAAGAGAGCTTCCAGATCCTCAGCCTTCATGGTGCCACTGCTCACCTGGGCGGTTTCGTTGGCCCATTGCTTGAGCTGGCGGCGGACGGATTGTGCGACCGACAGGGTGTCATTGCCAAGAACATCATAGATGTTGGGATAAACCACGGTCTTGGTGCCCGTCAGACCAGGGGTGGTGGAAGCACCTAGCCCCGCGTTGGTCTGGTCCTGAAGGTTCTCACCGACGGTGGGAAGATCGACACGGACAGAGATGTTGTACCTCTCCAGGATATCCCGGTTACCGATACCGGAGAGTTCCAGGATACCAGGCGACTTCAATGAACCGGCAGAAATGATGACCTCCTGGCTTGCTCCGATGACACTGATGGTGCCATTGGAAGAGGTAATCTCGACACCAGCAGCAGTAGCATTACCCTGGGATCCTCCATTCTTCCAGACAAGACGGTTGACGAAAGTATCAAGCATCAGGTGCAGGTTAGGACGGGACGCAATGGGCCAATAGTATGCGCGAGCGGCGTCTTCACGCACATATGCGGTGTAATCGATGGTGGAAGGGTAGACGTTGAAGCCACGCATCTTGCCGCCGTTGACATCCTCGGTCCATGGAACACCGAGTCCCTGGAAGGTGGCATTCAGGGTGTTGGTGAGGTTATTGGCGGGAATGTCGGGCCAGGCTACGGACAGCGGACCCTCCTCGCCGTTGGCACTGGGGTCGTAGGTGGCTCCTCTAGCACGCTGGCTGGCTGTGGGAACAGTCAAGTTCTCACTCTTCCGATAGTAGGGGAACAGGCTGTCCCAGGTCCATCCCTCGTTACCGATGGTCTGCCATGCGTCAACCTGGACGTCTTCGGCCCGAGTGTACGCCATTCCTGTGAGTACGTTAGTGCTTAGTTCCATTCTAGCACACGTATGACATACCGTTGATGGCACTCGTGCCCGAAAGCGCCTTTCCAGCACGCAGCACCTGGGGGGCGTTGCCAGCATAGGACTGGTTGGTTGTCTCGTACTGCCAGTCGATGTCAGTACCGAAGGCCAGTCCGTAGCCGTCGACATCCGTGACGTTGGAGTTGTTGAGAACTGAACCACCGGCTTCGATGATGAGGACCGACACATTGGGGTTCTCCGACAGGCGGTTGGCAACCACGAGACCGCTGGTACCTCCACCAACGACGATGTAATCATACTGGGAACCAGAGAGACGGGTAGAAGGCGCTGCAAGGGCCGTTGACAGCGCACCCAAAAGGGTCAAGCTTCGAAGCATCTTGCTGGCCATGATCGCTCCGGAATGTTTGAACGGTGATGATAGCTTCAAGACCTTGCTCACTGGGTTTTTATACCTCTCATGACGCTGCATCCGTTCTGCAATGGCCCGTATCGAGTTGCTTCATAATCCTCCGTCAGCAGGATGATATCCACTTCCCGAGCGCACCGGTGACCTCGTTGGATCGTCTGTATATTGCTCGTGATCCTGGGCCCATATAAACTTACCGTGCCGTGATCGGACAGGATCCACCGCCAGATATCGGCATGCCGGGTCAGGTATCGGCCTGAGACATCGCCAGACACTAGGCACCTCCTAGCCGCAAGTCCTGGCTGGCCAGAAACTCCCTGGCTGATATCTGCAAGGACGCCACGCAGGGAGACGCATGACACTCGAAGCGTTGCTGATCCGTGTTCGTGGGACTGACACTTGGGTTAATGATATTCATGCGACGCCGTTGCATTATTCGCACCGGTTCCCGGAATGGCCATGAGGACCCTGAACGGGTCAGGTTTCATTGTTGGGCTCGGACTGAACGGGTCTTCCCGCTTCAATTCCCGGCCGTCAAAATTTGCGCAACGGCGTTTTCCCTTCCGTCACATCATTGATAGTGAAGGTTTCGTGAGGAATCCATAGTGCCTGACTAAATGTTTGTCATCTGGTTATCGGATCCACATTCCCTGTCGATCGGATTCATTTCGGCGTAATCAGATCCCAAGCAGGACACCAAGTGGGGTGGGTGAGTGATTTCTCAGCCTGTCTTTAACTTCGGCCCTGACTATCGCATTGCTTGGCGAGAATATGGCCGCCACAGGCAAGAAGTGAGGTGAATGGCCTAATCTCGGTGAGAGAAAACAGCTATTATGGCATTAATAGAGGCTTTTGGCCGGGTGCAATTCCGCGTCTAGCTTACATTGACAAAGGTTCTAGAAGTCCCAGCAGTTTTGCTTTCTGTGGCCCCGTGGGTGACCGTCTGCTTTTAATCGCCACGGGTGCCGGCCAGAAAGTATTTCAGAAGAGTCAGAGCCGATGCTGGTCATCTATATCCCTCTTGTAGGCTGTGGTCCATCCACACCCAAGTGAAGAAAGAGACCAGCCGGATCCTGTTGTTAGTACCCCTTGATGGCATCAGAGTGCCTCCGTCCACCTCAGATGACATGAGAAGATAAATGGCCCTTACAGCGCCCCCTCCTCACCGAGATGGTTATATAGGCTGCCAGTATCCGCGTAACCAGCAGCCAGGTAGGCATGTAGCACGGCATGATGTCCGGTGTGAGATCTCCCACTATGCAAGGAGCTGTGTCACGCCGATAGCATCCGTGCCTAAGATCGATATTTTCATTTCCTCTCTGCCTCTTACTTAACGCCAAGGCTTCACTGTTGTGGCGCACAACGGATAATTACCTAGCTTGCCTGTCGGCCATCTCCATTTGCCCGATAAGAATATGTGGAGCTTCCCCTGAGACGGTTCCAACTAGCTTCACACTAATTCTAGATACAGTATAGGTGCTCATGCAGCTATCCTTGTCCGCCATAACAATGGCTTGTAACTCGCCATTTGCTGCTCATATGACCGTCAAGGGTACAGTAAAGGATTCAGTCATGTGCTGCCTTGAGGAGCTCTTCGACACTTCGCTGCTCGCGCCGTTTGGACCGCATGCCTTACTATATCTGTCGTGTATCGCCACGTCAGTTCAAGGAGTAAGGAGTTCATGAAACTCGCCGCAGTGTTCTGCATCATGACCATCGAGGAATGTGCCCCGCTACCCACCTTTGACATTACACCCGCGGCGATTCTAGACCATGCCAATCAGGTTATCCGCCGGGTCCAGCTGGACGTCAATCATTTAATCGACAAAGTTGCAACTGGGGATGCCACTGTTGATACTCTAGTGCGTCCACTAGGCAACATAGATAACGAATTCAAGTATCACATTCAGTACATTGCCCTATTTCAATCAGTCGCGCCGTCCCCGGATCTGCGCAAAGCATCGTCAGAGGCAGTGAACCTGGTTAATCAAGCTTACCTAGCGCTGTTCCAAGATGAGCGCCTATTCTATCTACTCGACACCGTGTATAGCAAGGTCAATGATGACAATGAAGATGGCGAGTCCATACGTCTCCTGTCGAGATTCCATCGCATGTTTGTCGATAATGGCCTCCGTCTGGCTGGGGCAGATCGCGATCGGTTTCAGCACATCGTAAAGCGGTTGCTTGAATTGCGTGTCCAGTTCATGGACAACATTGCCACCGACCCGGGGAGTCTGTGGATAGCGACAGATGAATTGAAGGGCCTCGATGAGGGCATGCTAAAGAACCTCGAACGAGGCCCTTCTAGGAGTCGTATTCGTCTGGATCGGCCAACAGTCAGCACCATTCTGGGAAAGTGCAGCGTGGCTCAAACCCGGCGAGATGTATTTCTGGGTAGTCAGTCAATTTACTCTCAAAATGTCAACATATTCCAGGAGACTATCAGGCTGCGGCATGAAGCTGCGCGACTGCTGGGGTTCCCGTCTTTCGCAGCACAACAACTACGGCACCAGCTGGTTAAATCCCCCGGCGCTGTCACAGACCTCCTGGAGGACCTCAAGCATAGATTGCAACCACTTGCGATCCGTGAGTTACAAGCCTTGCGGACATTCGCTCATCTAGAATCACCGCTTCATCTGTGGGATTTCGACTACTATCACCGCCGCATGCTGCAGGAACAGTATTCTGTCAGCCATGATTTGATCTCCGAGTATTTCCCAGCTGAACATACGATTCAGCGGATGCTGGGCATCTTCGAGAGGCTATTCGGATTATCAATTACGGAAGTTACAGAGAAGACCGACCGGAATGTGTGGCACTCTGATGTCAGGATATTCGCAGTACGCGACAGACAGGAGTCTTCAGAATCCTTCCTAGGCTACCTCTATACGGATATCTACCCTCGGGCAGGGAAATACAACCATGCCGCCAACTTTAACATCCATCCCGTAGGTCTACTGTGTTACAAAATGCCCAAGATGTTGCTAATTGATGTTGCAGGGATTTCAAAGGAAAGATGGAAGTCAATCTCCCGTCGCCACGGCTCTTGTGTGCAATGTATCGCCAGCTACAGCCGACCGACCAGCGCTTCTGCAGCACAGGGAAGTCATCACGCTGTTCCATGAGCTAGGACACGGTCGGTCGCATTAATTACCTCTACAATCTCCTTGCTAATATGGCATATAGGAATGCATGATCTCCTGGGAAGAGCCAAGTACGCTCTATTTTCCGGCCATCGAACTGTGCGAGACTTCGTCGAGGCACCCAGTCAGCTGCTGGAATACTGGTGCTGGGTACCAGAGTGTTTGCAACAGCTCAGTTGCCATTACACGTACCTGCCGGAGTATTGTGAGCGAACATTGGCTGAGGGGACTGTGAAAGATGCCAGTCGACCACCGAGAGAGATACCCCAGGACCTAGTCAAGGGACTTGCTGCCGTCAAACAAGTCAATCAGGGTATCTTGACCCTGCGACAAGTTGCCTTTAGTGCATTCGATATGGAGATCCATGGCAAGCACGGCCAGGAAATCTCGGAAGGCAATGGAATTGCCGAGCGATACAATTCGTTACTACAAGAAATGACCCTCCTCCGGGGCCCTGAGGAAGTTAACTGGGGCCATGGATATGCCACGAGCCAACATTGCATGTGGGGCCAAGAGGCCAACTACTTTTCATACCTCTAGTAAGTGTAGTGTCAATGGGTGTCTGTTTCTTGTTCTTACCTCGACTAGCACACGGACCTTGGCAGCAGACATTTGGACCTCCAACTTTCGTGACGATCCCATGAGTGCGGAAGCTGGACTCCGCTATCGACGGATGATTCTCGCCCATGGCGGTAGTAGAGACGAGTTGGAGATGCTCAGGGAGTTCCTGGGACGATCTCCGTCTCCGGAAGCATATCTTGCGGATCTAGGGGTCGGGGAGCATGGCTGTTGATTCATAGTAGCTTGACGAACCGTGGGTGCTAACTATGCCGTAAAGTTCACATGAGCATCAGCGGAGCGCCCCCGAGTCATAATGATGCTTCTCAATGGCTGCCATCTCGTGTTGAGCGCGGACGGTGTAAGACGGCGGCTCGGCCAGAAGTCTCCGCGGTCGCACGGGGACTTACGGAGGGCGGCGCTCGAAGAATGTACATAAAGACTGAAGAGGATGATGGTGCTATGAGGGTAATCACCGTGAATCACAATACAAACAATCACCTTTCCTATCTTTCTCTTAAATTCAATACCATATATGAAACATGCAACAACAACAACAACAGCCAACAGTAGCCTTCTTCGGAGCGACAGGGGGATGTGCCAATGCATGTCTGGCTCTTGCCCTACAAGCCGGCGTTCATTGTTCCGCCCGTATGTGATTGTTTTTCCGTTTCCGATACAAACATCTCAAACTGACCCTGATCAATACTGAAAAACAGTGGCTCGCACTCCCTCCAAGCTCCACAAGTTGCTCCAGCAGCTCAATGTCTCCGAGTCCGCCATTGCAAATTACCTAACGGTCACGGAGGGTGATATCTACGATCACCAAGCTGTTCAAAAGACCCTCTATGTCGATGGCCGCCCCGTTGACCTGATCGTCTCTGGCCTCGGCGGCAAGCCACGCTTCGAGTATGGCATCAAAGCCACCCTAGACAATCCAACCATTTGCCAAGATGGCATCCAGACTATCATTTCTGCCGCTAGATCGTGTCCCCAGAAGCCCCGGATCGTGATCATCAGCACCACCGGCCTCAGCGACACGCGCGACGTGCCACTCATGATGCTGCCCCTGTACCATTGGCTGCTCAAGGTGCCACACGCGGATAAGAAGGTGATGGAGGACCTTGTTGTGGCCGAGATGCAGAAGCCGGAGGAGGAACGCGCCATTGACGGGTATCTCTTCGTACGGCCCTCCTTGTTGCTGAACGGCGATGGCGATGGTCTGTCGAAGATCAGGATCGGCACGGACGAGAAACCCGCGGTGGGCTATTGCATTAGTCGTCGGGACGTGGGTCTCTGGATATTCGAGAGGGTAATTCATCAGGCATCGCTTGCGGACTGTCAGTATTGGGGGCAGAAGGTGTCCCTGACGGCCTAAGCAGCTGCGTGGAATATTTCGATATAGGTTGATCACTTGGAGCTACTGGGTAATATACTGGGTTCTACGGAGTACTGTGGATAATTGTCTGCACTACTCAATGTTTACGCTATTATTATCAACTTTGTTTGACTTTCGAGACTATGTGGCATGTCAAATATCTACATCGTAACGTAGACACGGTCGGAATCATACAGTGTTTACTCGCATAACATGCGATCAGCCGTTTCACTTCAAAGCCTATACTCGAAATTTTATCCTATTCAGGAGACTGGGGTCTAATTAGCCTGCTTGCAGCCATCCAGTTAGTGCTGGATTTCACACGGTGATATCACGTGATCATTACAGACTAGTCCTCTCGGGCCATGACATCATTGCATCCTGTTCTACTTAGTCATAAACTACCCGAATAGGAAACACATCAACATCTCTCCCATGAAGTAGAAGAGTCATTGGACTGGAGATGAGCTATACTCTGGGGAACTTGAAGAATAACATACTGTATCTATTACCTGCATACCGGTTGCATGATCATTCCTCAAGATGTTTTTTGGTGATTGAATAATATGCTACCTCTTGTGAGCACTAAGTACTCTCGGGATATATATATGTACTAGTAGTTGAGGCACCTAAAGACTTCCATCGAACATAACAAAATCCGTATGAACAGCCGTTTATCTTACGATAGAGATATAGCATACCTCTTTGACAATAACATATAAACAGATTCTACGAACTGATCACGGCTCGTAGTAGCTTGTGCGTGGTATTGATTCATCAAGGTCACTACCGTCTAAGACTAGTTGATCGGATACTTTAGAAGGTGCTGGCTCCAACACATCTTCCCTTGAATTTGGAACCAACATACATTGGGTGGGACCACACTCCTGCACCACAACAGACGAGTTCAGTCACTCAAACATAGGTTAACGGTACCAATATCCGGTCGTCATACCTATTCTGAGTGGGCTATATCTTGCTTCGAGAGTGCGCGCTGATGAGGAGCGCCACGTCCCCCATCAAGTATGGGACATTACTCTGGAGGCCCAGGTCTACCCCTTCCGAGAATACATTTTACCTCCGAATGCTGTTACGAGCTCTCATGGCGAAGGCTAGACGAAGAACATTGGAGTCAACTCCAGAACCTTGCCTGCTATATGCTGGCGCATGGTGTTCTGGAAGACGATTCTTAGAGAGCATGTAGGCTTCTTACCATCCATAAACGTGATCCAGCTACGGCTACGTACTCTTGAGGTCTCGGCATTTCTTCATTCCCCTAATAGATCAGCACGCATGCTTCCTTCACTGCCGGGGAGGTATTGCGCCTGATGACCGGCACATGATCCTCAAACACAATATCGTCGCAGAGGTCGATCATTGCTCATCTCAGCATCGCTTGTAATCATAAGACAGGGAAACCGAACTATGGAAGGGCTTGATGCTGGAAAGACCGGCGATCCCCGACTACCTACCGCTAAGGAACACCAGCCGGGCTACATCGTATATGACGCACAGGATCAGAGCCAACTCTATAGGTCTTGGTGTGAATTCTTCAAGAAAGCGGGCCTTGGTACGAAGTAGAAAAGCTAAGCTTCGCGTCTTCATGGCAATCATCTTCACACGCGGATCCGCAGCGTGTTTACGATTCAGCACAGCCGACTCATGGTATGGAATGCGAAGTTACTTAAAAGCGACTAGGATCTTCCATCGTTTATCCCGCACTATCGAACTCAATGGCTTGATTTGTTGATCACAGCCTTGAACAGTAAATCTAGACACGAGTGGCTGACAATGTCGTGAGGCACAGCAGAGCCTCGGAGGTCACCAGGCTTTGCAGAAGCCAGGTCAATAGTCTGGCGTCACCAAAATTGCCAAAGCAAGGGATGGAAACATAGGACTAAGTACTGGCGAGGAATGTAAGCCAGAAGGTGCCCCGTTCCTTGATATGTTTGTATGTGTTTGAAGTAATTAAAAGTCGAGATATAAACAAGGCTTCCTGTGATGTCTCCCACGAATTCATTGAAAATATCAAATCTCACTCTACCTGTCTGTATACACAAGCAAGTCATTCTTTACGTTAGTCACGAACCCCATAATGAAGACTTACGGTATCTGGAGCACAATAGCCACCCTTGGCTCATTCACTCTCTCATCAGCCAAGACCCTCAACTTCGTTGCGCACGAGGATGACGACCTCCTCTTCCTGAGTCCGGACTTGATCCGAGACATTCTTTCCGGCGAGCCGCTTCGTACCGTGTTCCTGACTGCAGGAGACGCTGGAATGGGATCTGACTACTGGAACAGCCGTGAGGATGGCTCGCGGGCAGCTTATGCGCGCATGGCAGTGGCGAGCAACAACTGGGACGAAGACGTGATCTACGTCGGAGACAAGACCATCAGCCTCTACACGCTGCAAGACGACGATGACATTTCCCTGGCATTCATGCACTTGCCGGATGGCAACATGGATGGAACTGGCTTCGGCGGCACCGACCAGAACGACAGCTTGCAGAAGCTGTGGGACGGCGACATCGACGTGATCCGGACCATTGATGGCTCGGGAGTTGAATACACGAGAGATGAGCTGCTTGAAACCATCGCCGCTCTGATTGACGACTTTGACCCCGACGAGGTCAAGACGGGTGACTATGTCAACGACTTTGGCGATGGCGACCACAGTGATCACTACGCCACCGGTTACTTTGTCGACAATGCCTTGCAGCAGGCCGACAGTGATGCTGATCTGACCGGATACTACGGGTATCCGATCCAGAATATGGACGTCAACTTGGACGATTCGGACATTGAAGACAAGACGAACATCTTTTACGAATATGCTGGTTATGATACTGCCACCTGCGCCACTGATGATGCTTGCTCGAGTCGGCCTGAATCTGCTTGGTTGCAGCGTGAGTACGAGCTTTAAGGAAGCTTCTCTTGAGCTGGTCTTGGGGACGATTTGGCCATTTACTAGGCTGTGAGACACTGGGTGTTTTATTCTCTGCCATCTTGTACCTTAGTTACGACACTTTGAAATGTCATATGATAAGTTGATTGGTGTATTTAGAAGAGCATTGTACGCGCCGCGCGCAGCAATTGTAGGCCATGCGTCATGTTCCTGACTATTGTGTGCTGTAACTAGAAATTAGCCCACTATTACACATGAGAGCGCGGAATGCACCAAATGATCGTGGATAAACCGCGATGTTTGTTTACTTCCTATTGAGAATCAAGCATTCTGACAGTCGACGTTGCTCTGCAACTCAAGTATACATTCCAAGTACTAGCGGTGGAATGTTCCCATTGTAGGCAGTATCACGAGGGAAGCTTCTGTTCTGGTTCCTGAAGGAGGTTGAAGCTCATTCCGTAGGCGAAACCTAAAGCTCCACGGCATGTATGCTTACCAATGAGAGCTAAATCAGTGTAGTTGATTCAACACCGTGCTCATACTAAGAATGTTATTGTACGAACTGCTCATTCCCCCTTTCTAGCATTTCTCTGGGCACTAATCACTCAATCTGTGCCGTGTGATAATACCAGTTTACTGATCAGAACATACTCGAAGTATCCAACTTTATGCGGTGGTGATTGGTGGTAATGATGGACACGTCGACATGCATAAATCCCGGAATATTTCCAGGGTTATCGGAAATCCCGGATTTACAAATGTATGGAATAACCGGTACTTCGCAGCAGATTTCATTAACAATTTACCTGTTATCTACTACTGAATTTCTTCTTATAGAGATACCCACACTACGCAGTGACCTTCTTCCAGCTCTCTCTAGCCTTCAACCCCTCCCACCACTTCTGCACATGAGGAAACTTGCTCACCAGCTCCGTGAATCCGAATGGCT